TTCAGTATGGTTCCTTGCCCTCCTGTGGTGAGATTCGACAACCGGGCACTTGCTTCATCATTGGGGAAGGAAATCTCTTCATATTTATCCCGTCAGGAGTGTCATCTAAATCCTGCTGGGACTTGACTGGTAACACTGAAAACTGGGAGAGTGGCGAAGAAGCTTTGTGTTAGATGAATTCTATTAAAATGCTGGTCCCCAAACGGAATGTTCATTTCTGACTGGCACTTATTTGGGAGGTAAATCCGACACCTTCCCCTCCTCGAGTGCAGGAGAGGAGAGAGGCCATGAGGAAAAGGAGTGCTGGGGTGAGGCTGGCAGGGCGCAGTCAAGAGTTCCATCATAGACACACGTCAAGATGGTAGTTATTCTCCGTTCAGTGCAGGTTGGGTAGGCATGGAAGGAGAGGTCTTAGTTTACGAGTAGAATCTGTAATTCATCAGCATACGTTTGTTTCCAGTAACTGGTTTTGACAAAATATATTACATTCATGGGGTGATTTTAGTATTTCAGAGAATGGTAAGAATTGTAGCAAGCATAATCCCTAAATTGGGCAGATTAGGTTGGTGGCCTAGTCCTTTTTAAATGCCCTGAGCAAGGACTAAGCAGTAAACGGGAATAATGAGTATGATGTTAGAATCACTAGTTGGTTAGAAGTGAGGATTTGACAGAAGCAAGAGATGTAAGAAGTCATTTGACAGAAGCAAGAGATGTAAGAAGTCATTTGACAGAAGCAAGAGATGTAAGAAGTCAACCCAAGCAGCCGACTAGAACACCGGATTGAAAGCCTGAGTTCTCCGTGGTTACAAGAAGAGTTCTACTAAGTAAAAGGAATTCTTAGCGGTGAATTTAACTTTCCTCCCGCCACCAACTTGAGTTGCACAAGCATGTCTCTGAGGACTTAGCTTTGCAGAAGGCACTGGAGCTAGACGCAAAGTGAGTGAAAGAAGTGGAACCCTTTCAGATTGTCTGCGTCCCTTCTACTCAAGGAACGTGAAAACAAGAGGACTGCTTCTCCGATAGATGAAAATGTCAGGGGGTCAGCACAAGGAGCCCGAGTCATTGGTTCTAAGAGCCTAGAGTGGTCCTTGGTGAAGTTAATGCACATGCTAGACAGTCCCTTGGCAGGAATGCTTTGGATGGTAACTTTGGTGAGTAACAACTGGCCCCACCTCATGCAGTCCACCCCACAGCTCCTACCCCAAGTTCATGCCTTAAGCTAAGAGATATGTTCCGATATAGGCTTTCAATTTGAGCAGATTGCCACCTCTTTATCTCATAGAACAGGTAGTGCAGCGGGACTCAGCCTGTGGATTGCGACCCCTTTGGGGGTCGATTGACCCTTTCACAGGGGTAGCCTAAAACCATCAGAAAACACAAATATTTCACAGTACATAATTACATATTGTTTTGTGATTAATCACTATGCTTTAATTATGCTTAATTATGTTCAGTTTGTAACAATGTAAATATCGGATATGCAGGATGTATTTTACATCCTGCATATCTGATATTTACATTACAATTCATAACAGTAGCAAAATTAGTTACGAAGTATCAACAAAAATAATTTTATAGTGGGGGGTCACCAGGACCTGAGGAACTGTATGAAATGAAAGGGTGGTGGCATGAGGAAGGTTGAGAACCACTGAGGTCATGGGTTTGATCCACTGACTTTCAGTTCACTGCCAGGTGCTTAACCACTGAGCCATCTAGGCTCCTTTTTACACTTACCAGGAGCAGAAAGCCCAAAATAATCGTAGCTTAAAGATGATAAAACACTCTCCCTCTAGTGCATACATGTAGGCATACCAGAGCCCATATACTAACTTCACAATCAGGAAGGCTCTGTCTACCTTTCAGCCTATCAAAGGGCCCGATGGAAGCTGACAGTTCAAGCATCGTGTTCTCTAGCCAGCAAGGAGAAGGGAAGAGGTGCCGCCTGCTCCAAACAGGCACACGTCCTTGAAATTTCACACAGCCCTGTGGCCACATCTGTTTTTAAGAGAAGTCGGCAACTATCAGCTTTGTTAAGAAAAGTTGTGTGCCCAGATTTTAAGAACAGGCTCTTTTACTTTGGAAATAGGAGGCATATACTTGGAAACAGCTAAAGGTCTGTTGACCTTCGGACAGCTAGAATGTAACTATTAAGTTATGTATAAACAATGCATCTGATTGAGGTCTTACTGAAAACCCTATTGCTCTCACACCCCAACTTTAATAGATAAAGCACCGGTTCCCAAAGTGGGTAATACTGGCCCGTGGTCAGGGGCATGCACTGAGATGACCAGGGAGGGCCTGCAGAACCAGATAGCTGTGCTTTATTCTGGATTATGGGCTAGCGTACAAACGTTTTTAATTGCCAGGGAGGCGCCTAGTACTTTTTTCTGAAAAGGGAGAATTGAGCCAATCCGTTTGCGGACCTCTGAGATAGGACTGCTTCCGCCCTGAAAAAGCACTGATCCTGCAAGAAAAGGATTCCAAGAGAGTTCTTTAGAAATCTAGGCCCTAAATCAAACGATTGCCCAATGTGGGAGAGGGGGTGTTTATGCTTAAGAAAGGGTACGGGTGGGAGGGGAGTGGGGGGAGGTTGTCTTCTCTGCAGATTAATTCTTCCCAAATTAAGCTGAGGGCAGGGGAGCTGGCTGCTGTTGGCTCTAGGAGCAACACCGATTATTTTCACAGGACTGTAAATATGCTCAACACTCCATTATGTTAACCTTTAAACCAGTTGTCTTGCAAATCATTGTACCCAAGCAGCTTCCTTAAACTATAAGCCCTTGAAATGCCTGGACGCTCTAGTGAAGTATTTGAGACTAAGAGTGAAGTGAGTAGAATTTGCTACAACATTCATTTCCAAAAAAAGGAAGCAAAATTGCAGGGGGCCGGGAGGTGGTTAGTTCTATTTTTTTTTAACTGGAATATTGGGGTTTTTTATTTTAATTTATGAGGGGCTTTTACAGTTCTTATAACCGTCCATACATCAATTGTGTCAAGCACATTTGTACATATGTTGCCATCATCATTTCCAAAACATTTCCTTTCTACTTGAGCCCTTGGCATCAGCTCTTCTTTTTTCCCCACCCTCCCTCTCTCATGAACCCTTGATAATTTATAAATTATTTTTATTTTCACATTTTACACCATCCACTGTTTCCCTTCACCCATGTTTCTGTTGTTCATCCCCCTGGGGTTGGGGGAGGGGGGACATATGTCGATCATTGAAATTGGTTCCTCCCTCTCCATGCGCCCCCCCCCCCCCCTTTCCCCAACCCTTGTGGTATTGCTGCTCTCATTATTGGTCCTGAGGGGTTTATCTGTCCTGGATTCTGTGCCTTGAGAGCTCTTATCTGTACCAGTGTACATGCTCCAGTCTAGCCAGATTTGTAAGATAGAACTGGGGTCATAATAGGAGGGAGGGCAGAGAAGCATTAAAGAACTAGAGGAATGTAGTGTGTTACCTTGGTGCTATACGGCACCCTGGCTGGCTCATCACTTCCTTGTGACCCTTCTGTGAGGGGAAAATTGTCTACAGATGGGTTTGGGGTCTCCATTTCAACCCCCTCAATTGAAATGAAATGGTTGTTTGTTTTGGGTCTTCTGATGCATGATACCTGATCCCATCGATGCCTCGCAATCACACAGGTTGGTGTACTGCTTCCATGTGGGCTTTGCTGCTAGATGGCCACTCATTTTACTTCAAGCCTTTAAGACCCCAGATGCTATAATATGTAATAGCTGGGCACCATCAGCCTTCTTCACCACATTTGCTTATGCACCCATTTTGTCTTCAGTGTTCATGTAGGAAAGATGAGCATCACAGAATGCCTGGTTTTTAGAACAAAGTGTTCTTGCATTGAAGGGAGGCTTGGATAGAGCCCCAATGTCCATCTGCTACCTTGATACTTAACGTATAAATATATGTACATAGACCCATATCCCTATCTTTTTTTTTTTAATTTTTTAAAATTTTTTTTATTTTTTTATTTTTTAACATTTTATTAGGGGCTCATACAACTGTTATCCCAATCCATACACACATCAATTGTGTAAAGCGCATTTGTACATCGTTTCTCAAAACATTTTCTCTCCATTTAAACCCCCGACATTAGGTCCTCATTTTTCCCCTCCCTCCCCGCTCCCCCCTCCCGCATGATCCCTATCATTTTTATATGCATATATTTACATATGTACATGCCTATGTTTATACCTCTATAAACGTCTTTTGCCTCCTACTTCTTTCCTCTATTTCCTTTAACTTTCCTCCTGTCCCACTATCATGTTTGACCTTCATTTGGCTCTCTGTACTTCCACTTGGCTACATTGCACTTGATCGAACCCCAACAGGCATTCTATGCCCGTCTCACCATTGATTTTAGGTCTCTTGTTCCCTTATCCCTGGGTTTGTTGGCTCCCACCTCCTTTTCCTCCACTTCCTCCTCTCCCCTGTTCCCCCAGAACCGTGGGTCCCATTGTTTCCTCTGCTGGATTGTTTATCCTGCCTATCGTATATAGGTAGACATGAAAAGAAAGAATGAAAAAATAGCCTACGAATACTTCCAGGTCTGTCCGTTGACCTTATGAATGCTTTCTGGTCGGGTCTGATGCGGTGCGAAGCCCTGCCCCCTAAGTCTGCAGTCTATTTTCAGAATTCCTCGGGGACTTTGTTGCTTCGTTCCCCTTGCTGCTCTGTTGTGCTCCCTTTGTGTGACACCCTGGTTGGGGGCGTTCAGACTGGGCACAATTCCCACACTGTGTCTCTGGAGCTGTCCCCCATAGCGCCGTGGGTCAGTAAGGGGACGTCATGTCTTGTGGTGGGACAGGAAGGCTAGTTCTTGATTTTTTTTTTTTCTTCTTCAACTTCTTTTGCAGGGAGTCAGCTGCGGGGGGGATCTTTTTTCACTCAGCCAAAGTTAAGTGAACATAAGCCTCAGAGGTCAACACTGCCTACTCTGCTGTGTTGGGTTGACTTTCTCCTCCACCCCCCACCCCACCCCCAGTGTTCCAGGACGTGTGGAGGAGGTATTCAGAAACGCGAGGTTCTGTGCAAGCAACGCCTGGCTGATGGCAGCTTCTTGGAACTTCCTGAGACCTTCTGCCCCACGCCGAAGCTGGACACCCAGCAGGCCTGCAGGAAAGACGACTGCCCCAGTGAGTGGCTTCTCTCCGACTGGACAGCGGTAAGTGTGCTCCTCAGAAGAGAGTGTGGACAAGGCGGCACCCCAGGCCTAGAGGCACAGCAGGCGAGGCCAGAACAGAGCAAGCCTCCAGACAGGACGGAGCCGTTCTCCTACCACCCTTTAGAGTCTAAACCAGGGGTCCTCAAACTTTTTAAACAGGGGGCCAGTTGACTGTCCCTCAGACCGTTGAGGGCTGGACTATAGTTTTAAAACACCCAGCGGGCCAGATAAATGTCCTCGGCAGGCCGAATGTGGCCGCGGGCCGTAGTTGGAGGACCCCTGCTTTTAACTTGACTGCAAACACCTGTACTAAAGCAACCAGGCCTGGCCCAGTGTCTAATTTGTTACCGGTCCCATAACCCATATCACGGGTCATTTCGAAGCTCAGAAATTGATTTTCTTAAGTCTGAATTTTGGGCCCCAGCTCTAGGGGATCAAACTCTGTCATCTCCGGGAGAAGACCCCTCTCCATATCTGTAAAACCACCTACAGGTAACATGTAGCTTCCCCTCCATTGGTACTTGCTTCTCTGTCTGATCCATTCTTAGGAAAAGGGAGTCTGTTCAGAGCACAGCCTACCCTGAAATCGCCTCATTAACCAAGGAAACCCACTCCCAGATGGGGCTCCCATCACACACAGGGAGCCGTTTCTCTGACCTTGGCTCAGGGCAGCCCTATCAACTGAAGAGAGCTTCCCAGAGGGTTTCTAAGCTGTAATGAAGGGATGCTTTGCTTTGGGCACACTGACCACCAAAGACCTCTCTATAGCACTCAAAAGCGGAGCTGTCACCTAGAGGTCTGATGTGTGCACGATCCGAGGGATGGCACTTTCAGTTCCATCATGTGCATATGAAAACTGAACCTTGGATAAAGACAATGTAAAAATAGTAGAGGTATTTGAATTATGACGTAGGTGGAAACTAGTGAATAGACCAAGGGCTATCCAAAAAGGAACGAATCTTCCTCGGAAGAAATATAGCCAGGTGGTTTATTGGGAGCACTGATGGGGAGGCATCATCATCTCCTGCCCTTTGGGCATGTTACCCCCAGGGACCAGACCCTGGAGGACATCCTGCTTGGTATAGTTAGTCAGCGGGGGAGAGGGTAGGGAAGGAAGCCCTTCAGTGACCCGGCTTTGAACCAGGAGCTGTAACGGGTCGCAAACATAGCAATGATGGTGAGGATGGTGTAGGACCAAGCAGCGTTTTTGCTCTGCGGCACATAGGATTGTTGTGAGTCGAACCGGCTCGTCAGCACCTAACAAAGCCTTTATAGAAACCGACCGCTCCATTGTTCTCCCATGAGCGGCTGGTGGATTCAAACTGCTGGCCATTTGGTTTGTGGCCAAGTCACATAATCAGTGTGCCACCAAGACTGATGACACAGGCTGTCATGGGACATATTCAGTACCTAACACCCAGCAGTTAGAACCCTGGGTTCTCCTCCTCCTCCTTCCACACTCCCCCGCCTGACCTCCCTGAGCCTCGCACCCAGCAGTCAGAAACCTGGGTTGGTTAGTGGACGGGAATCTTTTCAGAACCCTGGGTTCTCCTCCTCCTCCTTCCACGCTCCCCTGCCTGACCTCCCTGAGCCT